CGCGCGGGGGCCCGCGCCCTCCCTCCGGGGCCTCCGGGCCGGGGATGCGCGCTGCGTCCGGCGCGCCTAGGAGCCATGGTCCGCTTTGGGGACGAGCTGGGCGGCCGCTATGGGGGCGCCGGCAGCGGAGAGCGGGCCCGGGGCGGTGGGGCCGGTGGTCCGGGCGGCCCGGGCCCGGGGGGACTGCAGCCCGGCCAGAGGGTTCTCTACAAGCAGTCGATCGCGCAGCGCGCGCGTACCATGGCGCTGTACAACCCCATCCCAGTCAAGCAGAACTGCTTCACCGTCAACCGCTCGCTCTTCATCTTCAGCGAGGACAACGTCGTCCGCAAATACGCCAAGCGCATCACCGAGTGGCCATATCCTGCCGGGGCCGGCCGGGCGGGGACCGGGACGCGGCGACCGGGGTCTGCGTCCCGCGGGGTCGGGAGTGTCTGCCGGGAGGGGGCTGGGGCGGGTCGCGTGCGACGCCCAGTGGCCATCTTTTCCTGGGGCCAAAGAAGGGTGCGACCGGGGACAGGCGCCGCGGAGCCGGAGCGGCGGGGAGGGGGCGGGGCGGGGCCTGGAGGCCTCCCCTTGGTGCGCCGCGTGTGTGTGTGCGCGTGAGTGTGTTTATATGAGTGTGTTCGCGCGCGCGTGTGTGCTGCGTGTTGTCACGGCGGCTGGGTGGACACTGGGCGGCGCCCCTTGCTCTGGGCTGGGCTCTGTCCGCTCTGAGTCCCGGGAGCCCACGACCAGCCTGGAGGGCACCGAAGCGCGTTCGCGTCTGTAGGTGTGGGCACACGTGCAGCCGAGCCCCGCGCGCGCCTGGTTGCAGGTGCATGTGCGCCTCTGCGGGTCCAGCAAGAACCCGGTGTTGCGCGTGCGTTGGTCTGTGTGCGCGAGCGCTGTGACTCGGTACATGTATGTTCACGTGCCTGTGTAGGTGCATGTGGAGACGTGTCTTTAGGTGAGAGTGTGCGCCTGCGCCTGGCCCTCCTGCCAGCTGCGGCCGGGGGCGCACAGCCCCCTCCCTCAGGGCGCGGAAGCAGGCGGAGCCGGGGCGAGGCGCTGTCCGTGGTGCTGACGGACGCAGGACGGGCGGAGGGGGCTGGAGACCGCCACTGCAGAGGCCTAGTCTAGCTGCGGCCCTGGGAACCATGGGAGCGGTCCTCGTCAACTGTAGTGGAGCTTCAGACCTGCTCGTTGACAGCACCTCGGAGGCGGCTTGGTCGGGCTGCTACGTGTCCGTCTCCGCGGCCTGCCTGCCTTCCCTCCCCCTCAGCTTCCCAGCCAGTCCTTAACCCGTGTACTCCGTTCGAATACATGATCCTGGCCACCATCATCGCCAACTGCATAGTGCTGGCCCTGGAGCAACACCTCCCCGATGGTGATAAGACCCCCATGTCCGAGCGGCTGGTGAGTCCCGCTCCAGGAGGTCAAGAGTGGGGTGGCAGTGGGCTGTGGATCTCTGGTCCAGCTCTGGCTAACATGCTAAGTTCCTTGAACAGCAAGTGCCCTCCACTCTTGTCAGTTGAGGACAAGGACAGAACTTGAGGGGCTAACACCACCCTCAAACTCCAGGTCAACAGGTGGCCATCAGCTGGTCTGTTCTGTGCTGCTAGCTGCCCCTCCACCACAAACTGGTCGGGCCAGGACCACAGTGCCTTATCTAAGTTTTGTACCTTAGATCTCAGAGGGGAACTTGTCATTACAGACAGGGAGTGTGGGTTTGAGTGTGGGCTGGCCCTTCCTTCTGGCTCTGTGGTTTGTCCATTCTCCCCCGCAGCCCTGCTTGGGAAGCCCTGCCCCATGGGAAGCATTCCTTCCCAGACAGGCCCAGTTGTGTTCTCAGTGGATTCTGGTGTTTAGGAGGGCGAGATGTAAGAAGGGTGGGAACTGGTTCTGCCACTCTCACCCCCCCCCCCCCAGCAGATGTTAAGGTTGGAATTCAGGGGCAGCTGGGCGGGGTCAGAAGGAAATCAGTATCCCCTAGGTTGAGCTGCACTTAAATTTTAAGGTGAGGGTTGGATAATTATGCCCTGGCTTCTCAGCCTGGGGGTGGAGGGCAGGGGTGCCCCTAACAGACTGGCGTCCCCAAGGGGATAGGACTGGCATCCCAAGACTGTTCCTCTGTTCACACCCTGGTGAGCTCTGTTTCTACGACTGATAAGTTGTTGCATGAACTCCCCTCCCATCATAGCCAGCAGGTCCAGCAGTAGACCAAGTTAGGGACATTGGGACAGAGGATCGGGAAATGTCTGATTTTGAAGCTCAGCCTTCGAAGGCCAAGTGGGGTTTGCTGGCGGGAGTTGGGGGGAATGTGAGGACAAGTTCAGCTCCCAGTGAGAGGCACAGGGTGCATGGTGTTCCTTGTGGTCACTCTGGCCCAGGGACAGAGCCCAGTGGGACACTTGCTTATGGGGAGGAGGGAGGGAGCTGGAGACAGGAGCAGAACCTTTGACGGCAGCTTCAGGGTGTGGTCAGATCCGCAAGTGCTTTGGGAAGGGAGAATGGAGTCTGGCTGGCTGAAGTAGAAGCACCGAGGCCATGGAAGGGGCAGGAAGCCATGTGATGGAGCCGGCTGAGGGAGGGCCTGCCCAGCCTGGGAAGGAGGGTGGGAGGGTTTACTTTGTGGTGTCCGCTGGAGGTGGGGGTGGTGCTGAAGGGAAGATTCCGGGAAGGAACGGAGTCCTTGCCTGACCCGGTCTGCCCTTAGGCACGGCCTGCTCTCCAGATGGACGGGACCCTCAATCTGAGGGTCTCTGTATTTCTCCCACTCGGAACCCTAGTTTGTAGCTCCTGCCAGCCTTCAGCTTCCGCTGCTCAAGGATGGTCCTAGGGGGAAGGCGATCTGGGGTGGGGCCCCTATCTGCTGGCTCTGGTCAGTTTGTCTCTGGGACTGGCCCTGGCCCCTCTCTTATTTCCAGAAGCTTCTGCCCAGTCATTCCTTAGGGCAGGGGATCAGCAGCCCCTCCCCTCACAGATGGGGGGAGCCTGCCAACAGAACTAGACCCTTAAGGCCAAGGAAGGTGCGTGCTCCCCACCAGGGGCCTCAGCCATGAGTCAGCATTGGGCGTCAGGGTCGGAGTACATGAGAGAGGCTCAACTCCTGGGGTGCCAACAACTTCCGCCATCGCTGCTGCCAGCCAGCCAGTGGCCAGCTCCACGGGGGTGGGACAAGGAAGTCCAGAGCAGAGCAGGTGACCTGGACTTTCTGGGAGGCACACAGTCCTGATGGAAACTGACCGGCCCCTCCCTTTCAGGCAGAGCCTTTCTGAAGGGTAAATTCTCCCGGGTTCACTCCACTCCTTCCTCAGGGCAGTTCCTTAGTGCAGGCAGGCTGCCCTCTCACTGCCCTTCTGTGTCCAGCTCCTTCCTGTCTGCCTGAGGACTGGCTAACTCACACTCCCAGGCCCTGGCCTTCTTGGACACCCTCCCTCCTGAGTGGTGTCTCTTGTAACTCAGTTTTTTTATCTTGACTTTTGCGGGTCTTCAAGTGGATTGTGAGCTGTGGCCAGCCAGGCTGGTCAGTGTTGGTGAGCCACAGGTCACACCTCCCCATCTGGGCCGAGTCTTGTACTAGCTCTTGGACTTCACTGGCCAGCAGGATCTCAGGCCTGGCTGTGCTCCAGCCCTGGGGACTGTGTGAGGCTATCCAGTCACTGTCCTGCTCGTTCAGGGCCTCCACATCTGCTGCCCACCCAGATTTGCCCCCAGCAGCTGTGCACCTGGGTGCTGTAAGGGAAGGCTCAACCCAAACCACACCGTAAGGTTGGCTGGAACCCAGGTGCCGGTTCAGATCTCCTGTGGCTCGAGCCCCAGCTCTTCCGTGTGCATCTGGGCCAGTTCCTGAGCCTGTCTGTACCTCAGTTTCCTTACCTGTAGAATGGGGTGGTGATAAAATTCACCACGTAAGGGTGCTGAAAACATTGTTGGAGTTAGTTCAGGAAAAACTTGTAAATGCTCAAAAAATATTACTCTTATTTTTGTCACCATTATCTTCCATTAATAAAAACCCCACTGAAGCGATATTAACCGGATGGGACGTGGCTGCTTTGAACCGGTGAAAGACACCAGGGGGAGGGGCACAGGTGACTTCTGGGTGTGGCTGGACTCTGCTGACCATGTGGATAGTTGTTGTGGGACCCTTTGTGGAGGAAGTCTGTGGGGTTCCAGGTCTGGTTTGGACATTGGGTGTGGCAGGGAGGGTGGCCCCTCTGTGTGTGCCAGCTGCTATTCTCTTGTGTAAGGGGAGGACAGTGGCGACCCCTGCCCTGGGCTTCCCCGCAGGACGACACGGAACCCTACTTCATTGGCATCTTTTGCTTTGAGGCGGGTATCAAGATCATCGCCCTGGGCTTCGTCTTCCACAAGGGCTCCTACCTGCGCAACGGCTGGAACGTCATGGACTTCGTGGTGGTACTTACGGGGTAGGTGTCCAGCGGAATGAATGAGGGCAGGCCAAGCTTGTGGGATTGTGGGCCAGTGTGCAGCCTGAGAGCTGGGGCGATGAGGAAGCTCTCTCAATCCTTGTTCTCCCCCTAATCACTGACCTCCTCAAAATGGACCTGGCAAGTCTCCAAACACCCTCAAAGATCTAGGATGGGCACCAGGTGCAGGCAGGCTGATGGGTGTGGACTGCAGTGTGTGGCTTCATGATCAGAGGTTGTGAGTGTGGACGAGGCTCCCCCACGAAGCCTGCTTGCATGTGCCTAGTCACTCCCTAAAGCCGAGGGTCAGTAGCTGGGCCATGTGGTCCAGGCTCAGAATTCGCCTTCAGAAGGTGGGTGACGAACCAGGGTCTTCTCCAGCACAGGGTGGAGGAAGAAGGAGGTGGTTCCCGCCCACAGGCCCTGCAGGTCGGGGAGAAGCAGCATCACTGAGTGGGCTCCCCAGTGACACCCTGGGAGTGAGGCACGAGCTGCCTGCCCCCGGCTGGAGGACCCTCTGGCTGCTCTTTCTGCTGATGGCTGGCCAGTGTCTTGGGTGCACAAGGAGATGTCTGTAGAGCTGGGGCCTGGGGTCCCTTGGGGATGTGGTGGCTGTGAGTCTGTCTCGCCTTCTTGCCTGGAGCTTTCCCTCGGTCCTCGCATCTTCAGCCTGGTATCTCTGCTGGGTGGAGGCTCTCACGTTAGAATTTCTCGTATGTCTTGGCAACTCTGATTTCCTATTGTTTCTCCTAATGAGTAAGAAAGGACAGGCAGCACCTGTGGAGTCCAGTTGGGGAGAACATGCATGCACACACATGCACATGTGCGTACACAGGCATCTCTTCTGGAGTGGGGTGCGCCGAGTCACACCCTGGCCTGTGATCATTTGCTGGGGTGGGACAAAGATGTCTGTGGCCCCTGGTGGCTCGGTGGTGTTGAGTGTCACTAGATGTTTACTTCTCCCTCTCACCTCAGACACAAGTCCCCTGAGGACAAGATCAGCGTCTTATTTTTCCGAGAGTCCCTGGAGCTCAGTGAGGGGTGGCTCTGGGAGGGGTCAAGGAACTTCTGCGGAAGCCGAAGTGAGTCTTGTGTGGCGGTGCAACACCCGTTCTCTGTACTTGGGCCACCTGGGTGCTGTCTGAGGTGTGGGGCCTGTAGGCTGCTTGGGGCTAAAGAGAGGGGGTCTTGGACCCACAGAGACTAGGACTGGCCCGCCTCCTGCCTCTGTCTGCCCTTGCTTGGACCCTGGAGACCCTCTCTGTGCCTCTCTCTCTCTCTCTCCCCCCATATCAGTCTCCTCTGTCTCTTTGGTCCTGCTCTCCTCAGCAGCTCTGACTCTTGATGCCTGGTTTTCTTCTCTTTGGTTTCGCTGTCTTTTTGTTTTTCGCTCTCCTTCTTCCTCTCTTTCTCTCTTCTGCCTTGCTGTTTCTCTCCTCTGGGTCAGGGCAGGTCTGTTCTTTCTCTGCATCTGCAGGAGCAGGGCAGGGACTTGGTGCCGACAGTCCCCAGACACAGTGCTGGTTGTCAGGGGAATCCCTAGGTGTGGGGCATGCCTGCGTCCTTCGGGTAACGGCGCAGGCCCAGAGCCACCTGGGAGCCACTGTTGCTCCTACAGGGATACACGAATGTATGTGTACGTGCACTCACATGTGCATGTGTGCATATGCACACGTGGACGTATGCAGGTCTGTGAGCAGGTTGTATGTGTACACTGGTAATATGTATGTGTGATTGTCAGCCAACATGTGCGTGTGAGTGTGTGTGTGTACGTGCATGCATGTGAGGCAGGGCGATAGTGACTCCTGTCTTGGGGTGAACCAGCGCTGGCCTGTGGGGAGCCTTTGGGGGTTGCTTCTTGTTCCTTTGTTGTATTCCTTAGGGTTCATTTAATTGGCTGTGGAGTGGTTCGGCTGATGAGGGCCGAGGGAGGCCCTGCTGCAGGCAAAGCTGGTTAGTCCCCAGGGCCAGCAGGTCCCCTTGGCTTCTGTACTGGGCATGAAGGGGACCGAGGAGTTTGGTGGGACCCTGCCTCAGGAAGCCCCTAGTCTTGCTATACCTTGTATCTCTGTCTGCCTCAGGGCTCTGTGGGGATTGTGGGGACGTTTGTTCACCCGCAACCCCTCATGGGGAGTAGGGTGACTGAGGCGGCATCCTATTCATTGGTGCCACAGCCCTGGCCAGTGGGGCCGCAACCAGAGGGTGAATGGGAGCCCAGAGTGGGATAGGGATCAGGCAGGGCTGGAGGACCCTGTGCAGCTCCCATGGGCACTAACCCTGTAGCTGGGTCCCCTGGGGATGTGCTGGGCTGGAGAGCCCCAGTTAGGGCTGCTGAGATGAGAGCAAAGTGGGGTAGCTATCAGGGCCTTCTGTTGGCCATTAGTGCCTTGGTTAGGGTGGGACAGGGACGGGGGAAGGACCCGGGTCCATATCTGGCTGACACAGTCATTTCTTCCCATGGTGGACTCCTCCTCTGTCCCCTCCTTCAGGGACACTCTGTGTGGTGTGGGGTGCCAAGCTGACTCTGTGCCCCCATGGAGAGGGCTGGGGTGCAGTTGGGCTCCGGGAGGGCCCTCTGGTGTAGAGGATTCCAGTGACCACCCCAGCTTGTGTCTGGCCACTCCAGGACATGCTCCGAAGCATCTCGGACCGCCACATGACGGAGGGGGGTGGGCAGGCAGAGACAACTGAGGGCTTTGTCCTGCCTCTGTCCCCCCACCCCCACCCCCGTTCTCATCACCCACTTCTCTGTCCTGATGTCTGTCCTTGACTGAGTGTTGTAATGGGGTCAGGGAAGAGGAACAAGGAGATGCCATGGAATGGAAATGTGGGATCTGTAATCTGGGGACACTGGGGAGGGCCTGTGACCTCATATCTGGGGACATCCGAGGGACCCTGGAATCTGGGGACACTGAGGAGTTTTGGAGTCTGGGGACACTGGGGGGCCTGAGATCCGGGAACACCTGGGGACCTTGGAGTCTGGGGACACCCAAGGGGCTGGGATTTAGGGACACAGGTGTGGGGAGCCTGGGGCCCTAAGACCCTGGAAGAGACCCCAGAGCTCTGAAGGAAGTCTGACCTAACCTGATACCCCTGCCTCTGAGCCCAGCTGGAATGAATGCTCCTCAGGGGAAGATATAGGAACTTGTCCAGCGGGGAGAGCTGAGGAGATGAAGGGGCAGACTAGCTGGGCACAGGTGGGCAGGGGTGAGCCTGGGAAGGCAGGGGCCAGATTCACAGTCCTCATGGCCTCCACATCTCTGCCTGAGCTCACCAGGGTCCAGCCCCAACCCTCCACCTGGATCACACCCACCTGCCCACCGTCCCTCCCTTCTCACATTTCCATTCCATGGCACTCCTTGTACCTCTACCCTGACCCCATTACAACACCCAGTCAAGGACAGAGAAGTGGGTGATGAGAAGGGTTTGTGGGGGGGACAGAGGCAGGACAAAGCCCTCATTTGTCTCCGCCTGCCCCGCGCCCCCCCTATGTGGCGGTCCGAGATGCTTCGGAGCATGTCCTGGAGTGGCCAGACACAAGCTGGGGTGGTCACTGGAATCCTCTACACCAGAGGGCCCTCCCGTAGCCCAACTGCACCCCAGCCCTCTCCATGGGGACACAGAGTCAGCTTGGCACCCCACACCACACAGAGTGTCCCTGAAGGAGGGGACAGAGGAGGGGTCCACCATGGGAAGAAATGACCGTGTCAGCCAGATATGGATCCGGGCCCTTCGCCCATCCCTGTCCCACCCTAACCCCAAGGGACTATCTCCAGATCCCAGGACCCTGGTCTCCCTCCATGGTGGAGCTTCTCAGTTCTCAGGGACGGCATAGAACTAGGTGGACACTCAGGCGGGGGCTCCCGAGGGAACATGTCCGACCATAACTTCTTGTTTTGCTCCAGGTTAGACTGGGATTTGTTTCCAGGACATAATTAGAGCTCAGGTTCCTCTTGGACTTGGGCCTCCTGTGAAAATAACGGGCACACGGCTGTGCTGAGGAGGGAGAAACTGCTGACCAGTGGACCCCTCAGCCAGTGCTGGCCACGAGCCTCTCAGGCCACCTGCAGTCGTGGGGCCACCAACTGTGTCCCCTCTTCTGCTGGTCACTGGTCACGTGGCTGATGCTTGATTTGGGGCCGGTGCAGCACAGGCTTCCTGAGGGGCTGCCTGGCCGAGAGCCAGGGCAGGAGGGCTCGTAGGTGTCCAGCACCAGGTGGCATATCTGAATTTGGAATGACCAGTGCTGTTGATTCTGTCCTGTGTCCGAGCAGCACAGTCTGGACTTGTGTCTGAGTGGGGGTGCTGGAGTCGAGTCCTGTTTGGGGATTTTATGGCAAGTCCTGTCCTGCTGAGAGCCCTGGGCTGCGTGCCTCACTCTTCCGCAAGCCCTAGTGTCCTGCGTCTGTAGTCCTGCCATGCTGGGTCAGGTGTGTGTGTGTGGGGTCTCTGATACCTGGTCAGGTGTGTATGGTGTGAGAGGTCTCTGATGCCTGGTCAGGTTGGGGGTTTGCTAGGGGTGTCTCTGAGGTCAGGCCAAGCTGGGGATTTGCTTGGGGAGTCTCCAGTGCCCAGTTAGGAGTCTGCTGGAGTGTGTCTCCAGTTGGGGGTTGCTGGGGGTGGTCTGGTGCCTGGTGGGGGGTTGCTGGTGACGTTGAGAATAAAGGAGGTCTCTTTCCTCCTCCTCCTCCTCACACCCCTCTCCCCATGGCTGGGCCCAGTGGGGGAGGAGCTGAGCTATGAGGGTCTAGCAACAGCTTGAGGGCGTCTGGGAGCTGAGTTAGGGGTCCTCACAGTGTTCATGGCATAGGGAGCTCTGCAGCTGGGGGGCTTGACCCCCTTCCATTGTGGCTCCAGGAAGGTCATGCTCTCTGACCAGTGACTGAGGCAGCAGGAGGGGAGCTGAGCCCTGGGGTGGGCTGAGGGAGGTTCCTGGCCTTCCCAGGTACTCACGGAGGACCCTGAGCGGGCATGCGTCTCTCCTCCGTCAGTTTCCTGAC